CGTCATCTGTCTGACACGTGAAACTCGGAAATAAATAAAAGAGCCAGAATACGATTTCGATTGGCTGTTTAAGAAGTAGATACGAAAAAGTCATTTCCGATGAGAAATGCAAAAATCTTGGTACCAAACAAATATGTCCCTTTAATAAATGTTATTACGATTGCAGAAATTAAAGTCTATCTGTACATGGAATGAGAAATATTTAGAAAGTCTTGCGGATTCACGAAAAAGAATAACAATAATGATCGGAAGCGCCATATTGTCATCTGGTATATGTCACTTCTTTCCTTTTCATTAGCAAAATTACGGTTGATGAATACGGCTCGCACACAGTTCGTTGACGACACATTTGCTTTGTCCCGTCAGAGATCCAAGTCTCGTTTAATGCCTCGTCGCTATTAATGTACGCGCGAGTTTTTCCGAGTAAATATTCACATGTATTTGTCGGAGCGCTCGAGGGGAACACTACGCCTCGCGGGACGCATAATAAATATACGCCTTTCTGTCTCTGTCATGTTGCACGGCGGTGCAATCGAGAGTGTGAGGTAAGAACGGAACCGCAACGGAGAGCAAGAGAGAGACAGAGAGAATGCATTTGTTAATTCAACATGCACCAATACACTCGCGCGCGTAAGCGTGGTACCACCGAGTACCAGCGCGATTCCGCGCGTAGAGAATAGCGAATTCTCGCTGCGACACGTGCGATGTCGATCGCATCGCATCTCCCCGCGAGAAAACAGTCGAGACGTAATATGATAGAAAAATAACACGTCTCTAATGGAGAACGAGTGTTATGAATTGTTCTCCAAGAAGCGGTGAAGAAAAAAACGTTTATCAACACGAAAAAAAAAAAAGTTTTCAACGCTACAGCTAATCATGATTTGCTGAAATTGTATTTGTCGTTGTAGCAAAAGAATTCATCACTGATGTTATTACATGGATTTCTTAGCGAAATGTATCATACTTGTCTGTGTCATCATACCGATTACAATTGAAGATTTGCTATCGCATCTAAGAATTGTAACTAACGCAACCGAAACAGCATTCCGGCAGCGTTCATTATGAATTCGGAGAACGCACAGGTACGTTCCAAAACTTGACTCTGTCAACTTCGAGTATCTTCAGCCTTGTTCAACATTCAATGAACAAGAATAAAATGATACTCGAGTTGGTAGAGTCGAATTTTGGAGCGCAACCCAGATGATAGGAAGTCGCGTAGCAATACGAATGTAAACGCTGTTTGTTTTGTTTTCACGATTGTTTTTGCCTCTCACATAATAGATTAACTAAGAGAATCAATAATTATCTTAGCTTAATGAATATAACGGAGCCATGAAACAAGTAGTCTATAACTCACGCATTTCTAATTGGAGAACAGAGATCCGACGACACAATTATTTAAGCGGAACTTCCTACCAAAAGAAATTCATTATATACAGAAGAAACAGAAGCCTCTTCAGATGCTGACTCAATGCTCCTCTTATGCTGAACTTTAGAACACATTTTGCACAAATGTGTTTAACGAGCGTGTAAAGAAACCTTCGGATAATTTATTATTTATTGTCAATCCATGAAACTCAATAATTTTTTACATATAGATAAATTAACAGATAATGTTTAAAACAACAGTACTTTGGTCGTCATTAAATCGTCTCGCTATTCGGAATTTTCATGAAAACAAGTCTGCACTCAGAGAAACAAGTTTCGTGTGTAAAATTAATATATGTGACTGAATGCAAAAACTATATGTATAAAATAGTTTATTCAACTACATTAATTCTACTCTCTAAGATTTTTGGAGTAGAATTCAACTATAAAAAGAGAGAGAAGTCTCACTTAAAAAATGACAATCGAATCACTTTTTATAGCTGCTACTGTTGTGTCTTTTTCTCTGAATGTTGTATCTCTCTTCTACCATTGGATTGGTTACAATATATTATGTCGATGTACAGATATCAGAACAATTAAAGATAAAAAAATCAGCTCTACTCCACATTTGTTCTGAAAATTACGAGCGGTGTCGCGTGAGATTCGAAGAGAAGCTTGACTCGCGTCACACAGAGAAACTCACTCGTCGGAGGAGAAACCAAAGAGAGTGTTGTGTGCCTAGTTCTCTCTAAGGTGAGAGTCTCCGACTCGACTCGCGACGGCCTTTTATTTACGTCGTGCGAAAACGCGCGACCGCCCGCTCGTCCGAACGATAAAGGCCTTTCGACCTATCGACGAAGTGAAGAATAAACCGCGTGACTGGCAGCGATTACTTTTAATAGGTACACATTCGATTACCAGTTTGGTCACGATCTCGCTGGACTACAGTTATTAACGTAGGTCAATTTTTACGAATTTCGTAAATCAAGTTCCAATTTAATCACGTATGATTACATTCAAAATAGAAATTTAAAAGTCGAACGTAAACTATGGAAAAAATATAAAAAATTCTTTAGTAATTAAAAATAATCTCATTTTGATTCAGTTAATCAGTTATAAAAAAGTTTAAAAATATCATAGTATCGTATCGTATTTCACTGATTTCACATTAGATAAAGGTAGCGATCGATATATATATCGGTTAAAAAATATTGATATTTTCAGATTATGCATATATCTCGCGAGATAATGTCGAACTGATAAACAAGAATTTTCAAACAATAGATCTGCAGGAATATACCGTAGCTGCAATCTGTCATCTATTTAATTTAGAAAAACAAGTCCGATAATGACTTCAGTGTCGATAAGAAATGTATATATTTGTGATTAAGCAACTGCGGTCTCCGATTTAGAAATTTGTAAATTATCGTCTACAAGGTTTTTTTTTATCAAGAGTACTTTAATGTTTTCGTTCACAACTGATAATATTCTACAATTGTCGATCACATCGATGACACAGCGCCGCAAGATATCGAACGATATCACGAGAATAAATATCATTGTGTACGTGTGTTTTTATTTTATATATATATAAAATAAACATCAAGAAACATCTGCGATCGATAAACGTCGCGTTTGAAATCTCGATACACCTGCCGATATCTCGGAGAAAATTTCTTTCGCTTTCTAAATGTCGTTATTTTCTTGCTGTTATAGACGTAGCGCCATTAGCCACGTAAACGTAAACGCGTGTTGGTGCTCCTAGGGTTCTCCCACTCTCAATCCACTTGCCTGATATTTTTCCCGCTCGTAGATATGCCCACGCTATCTCGCGTTGTACAGCGCGGGTTCCTGAGAGTTCTTAGGTCTGTTTTTTTTTAGCTGAACTAGTATATATATATATATATATATACTTTTGGAACTTAAACAGAAAAGCAGGTACACGTGGGCAGTTTGATGAGTCAGAGACTTTTAAACAGAAAACTATGTTGAACAATAAGTGTCGAAACTTGATAAAAAGAAAAAGTAAAAAGAGTCACTGACTTAACTGTTCGCGTATGTTTAATGTATTCGGCTGAAGTGAGACGAGAGTTCTAGTACAGTTAGGTGCAAGAATAGAAAAAGAAAACGAAACAGATCCTTCGAATCACGCGTGTCGCGGTCACGTCCGTGCTCGATCGCCTTCTTGGAAGGATCGGCAAACGCGAGTGACGATGCAACGTGGAAACGAGATTCGATCGCGGAAGACCGACCCGAAACGATACGATCGAGGATTTTAATATCCACCCGGCGGCAACGTTATCTTCGACCCTTATCGCGTAAAATAATTTCTAGCGAAAATAAAAGCGCTAAAAGAACACGAGTTCGTAATTATACGGAGAGAATGGATTGATCGGCCCTTTGATCTCGTATACCGGGAGACGAGAAGAATAGAGAATTTGCGAGAGAGAGAGAGAGAGAGAGAAAACTTACAATCTGTATACATATGACGTGGTATTTCATAAATTCGAGGATCCACGAGGAGTTCGGAAACGAACGAATTCAATCCTCGAACATTGTCGACATACCAAGGAATCGAAAAAATCCACTTTAAGATTCTATTCTGAAAATCCTATGTACTTTGTAAGATTTCTAAAGAAAGCTCGTAGAACAAAGCTAAAGAATCGGCTCCTTTTTTTCTCCCTTTTTTCTTTCTCTTCGCAGTGTGATTACAGACGTAAACAAACGAACGCAAAATCAAGTATATTCGACTAAATTCGATGTTTATGCCGTTTTGCGATATGAACCAATTGGACCGAATGCGAGGGAAGGCACAAATTCGCATTTTGTTGTTCGTTCTACGTATACCTGCTGGAGTAGGAAAATCTACCTGTGCACATCCGGTCTCAAAAGGCATGGGACCAAGCAAAGAATGGTAACGGATCAAAGAATATTTCGGAAAAAAAGTTCGATGGGGAGTCCTGTATAATACCTACGAATATCGCAAAATATAACAATATCCTTCTTCCAGGGTTATAAGATCCGTTTATTTAACAATACGAGGTTCGAGCGTGACGAAAACGGGGTCGCCCCCGTCCTTTGTGTATTCCGCATATTCTACGCGTGACGTCGAACGCATTTCTCTAAAACTAATCGGCAAAAAAAATACTTAACTTGTCGATACGTTTTATCAGCGAAAACTTGAACGATCCACATTCGAAGAGAACATTATGTACGATATTTAAATAAATAAAGCCTTGCGGCACAGACGGCGCCGATTTTTCTCGCTGAGGATCGCCTGCGATTTATGCAGTAAATTAGATACTATAAATTCCGCGTTCTGATGCAATTCTAGTAATTTACTAAATCGCAAGTAGAGCCAAGAGGAAAAATCACACCGTTTGCCGCAGGCTTAATTATACACGACGACGACGCGCGGCAGATCGAAATCGACGAGACAGATCGGCGAAGTGTTTATTTTTGTTCAATCGTAAATTAACTTTAATCTCGCTTTAATTTACTCTCCAGCCTATTTCCCCAATTTTTCGAACTAGAGGACAACGTAAGATAAAAAGGGAGTTCGAGATTGAAGTTAATCTACATAGAAAGAGCCAGAAACGCACGCACACACACAAACAGACAGGAGTCTTTACCTTAAAGAGATGCTCGCCGCACTCGAACATGGACGTATTACTCATGACGGCGGTCGACATGGTCCTCGGGTGTCGCACAAAAACACACTTTGTATCTGGAGTCCGCCTTCCTTCTTCCGATCCTTCCTTCCCTCCTTCTGCCACTCGTCCCTCGGGCGCGAAAAATGTCAGAGCAGCGCGCAGGTCGAACAGGTCGGCGTTGGCGGTCAGCGGAAGGGAGAGAGGGGGAGGTGGAAAAACTTTCTTCAGAACACAATAAAACTGCCACTACGACCGTATGCGTCGTTATGCGATGCCGCCGCCGTCGCCGTAGATCGCATTGGAAGCACCCACGCGTAAATAAACAGTACGCGCCCCGATCGACACGTGTGCCTCGGAATAACGTTAATAATAATAAAAAACAGGAACGAGCGGGCGCGCGCGAATTCGGAGAACGTACTTAATTCTCGGATTCGTGCTTCCTGACCGGCCCTTTCTATCTTCTCCTCCTTCTCTCTCTTTCCTTCTCTCTCTCTCTCTCTCTCTCTCTCTCTCTTTTTCTTTCTCTCTCCGGCAATCGACTTCGCGCGATAGCGATAACTTCTCTTCGTCGCGTACTCTCGTCGAGTTTACGAGTCGTCGTTATGAACGCCGTCAGACGTTTTTCTCTTCGTCGAGATTGAACGTTTCTACAATGACTAACTTATGAACTTGACACTTTCGTTCGTCGACTACGGCCCGTCTTTCACGGAGAGGGGAAAAAAAAAAAATCTTACCGGAATTTTGCGTGTGCCCGGTATATACCACCGTGTTTAATGTTTAAAGCAGAGCCTCCCAAAGCTGACTGAGAGCGCCGCAGACTGAAGTCCGTAGCCTGTGCTCCACGGGAGGACATGCAGGCCGGGGTTACTCCGCGGCACCGACGCGCCGACCAATCGCGCGCCGTCTCGGCGCGTCACGTGGTGGGGAGAGCGACCGATCCCGACGTGGCAATCGTGCGGCGCGCGGCTTCGGGACTCACGTGAAGTTGGCTCTCTGTCGGCATGTCGCGTCGGCTCTCAATTGTCCGCACGACTCCGTTCTACCGTTCCGCACCTCTCCAATCCTGCAGGGCGTCCGTGCCCGAGCTCCCTTATTGGATGGAATTCGGGGTCGCATCCCTTCGACAAAGGGCTCGTTTTAATCCGGTCCGAGACGGTAAGATCTCGCGTGATGCGACCTTCGAAAACGCGATGGACGACGCCGAGGCGCCGGCCGCCGCCGTCTCTCTCACAAAGCGCGGATCTCACAAGTTAGTACTCCGAGTCATTTGAATATTGCCAATTGTTTTTTACATGTCAATTAGCGGGTAAAAGGAGCGAGTTACTCCAGCCTTTCTGCGGAAATGATAATAGGATCGTAACAGCATAATGGAGCGTTACAAAGGGGCTAACAACTTTTTATTGAGATTCCAACAATCGCGCGGTAAAAACGTTTCACTGAAAGGTTAGATTCTCTTATAAAAGGATCGAATTTTTACTCGAGAATCTTACAAGGCATTTATATAATAAATTGCGAACGAATGCACAAAAAGCATTTTATATATATATTTATGTAAAGTGTTTTATGCGTTTGTACGTAATTTATGATATAAATGAATTGCAAGATTCTTGCAGACATCCAATTCTTTTACAAGAGAAGCTAACCTTTCCGCGAAGCGTTGCAGCGAAATTCAAACAAAATTATTTTCAGATTTGTATCTAGCTATTTTTAGATATCGCAGTTAAACAAAGAGAGAGAGAGAGAGAGAGAGTAAGACCGTATTTTTTTGTATATGAAAAGAAACCCAACAGAAATAATAAGAAAACGTCTCGCTCCGAAAAGTATGTTTATCAAAATTTGATCGAGACGCTGACGTGTTCTCGAGATCGTCGTTATTCTCAGTCATTATTCCGAAAACACATAGCGAAAGATAAACCCGCGTTGAAAGCAGTTACGGGATTGTTTCCTTCTCTGAATGCAAAACTATATACTCTAGATACGACGGCTCTCTCAACTGCTCGACAACTCGAGCGCATTCCAGCGGTCAAACAGCGGCATGAATGAAATTCAACTTCTATTCACCTGCGGCGTAGACCGCAGATTCTAAACAGTAACTGTCTACGTTCGTTATGATTTTTTGTCGCCAATTGCTTTTATGATTTTATGACCACAAACGTAAATTATGTTGCCAGCAGCAATCGTCCGTAATTTTATAACGATCGATTCATTATGGGGTGAGATATAGTTACCACACATAAATTAGCTTAAGTAATAAAGTACTGCCATGTCTAAATGAAGTACAAGTTGCGATGTATAAATTTCTTTTGATTCGTTTCTGACGTAAACACAGTGCAACTTTTATTATATGTTAATTAATTATTTTATATACTGTATATACATATGTGATTTATATAATATATGTAATATATCCTATATAACATAGAAGATTGCAGCAGCATTGTAACATTTTCAATCTTATTGAAATATTACTGGAACAGTTTTGCCGTAATATTGCTGTTAAATAATCTGTGTTGCATATATGGAACAAAAGAGAGATATTCTTTATATAATATATATTATTTAATCATATTTATGTAATACGTTTAATAATTAGTCATTTGTTACCAATACGAAAAAGATCTTTCCAAAAATGCTTTCGCAAATTATTAACGTCAACTATCTGTATCAAATAGATTAGATTTTAATATCAATAGCTTTTATAATTTTTACTGTTTTAATTATAAAAATGTATATAACGAGATACATGAAAAAATGTACTTGTTGATTTAAGAAAAATATCACGTATTGGGTTAGTTTAATCCGTTGTTCTTAGCTATACGCAAGCAAAACAGGAACAAACGTTTTTACGGAATTTCGCACGTACCAACAACACCATTAATCGAAGAAGGAAGTGACATTTCGCGAAGGGAAAGCCGGAAGTTCGATTGCTGCGAGGTCGCGTGAGTAGGAAGTGAGACTCTCGCTGGTTTCACAACGCAATGTCAAATGCTGATTAAAATTGTACTCAAAGAACAAAGGCCTTTTTCGTAATTAAATAATAAGCGATAAAATATCTAGATCTCTTTTGATAAAAGAATATGATTTATTGGAAAAACAAAAAGCTATCTTGATTCTCTTAATCGCTTAAACCAATTATATTATTTTGAAGAGTAACAGTATTTATATCCAACAAAGGAAAGAAATATCTAATTTAATATCGTTTTAATTACATCGAGTGTTGTGATTTTCTTTTCCTTTTCGAAAATTTAGAAGCTTAACGTGATAACGAGTTAACGATACCAATTTGTCAATCACGAGGGATGATTTAGCTACTTCATTATCGTAAATATAATCGACCATATACGTATAGCAACCAGATGAGTTTGACTCCTGTCTAATTAGAGAGTGTCATAGTATATGCTGCAACATACGGGTCTATGAGGGTAAGCTGTCGAATCTCATGGGGAGGTGTTTTCAACCCCGAACAGATTCTCATGCCACTAAATATAACGGCTAATGGGAGTCAGTTTCCGTCATGGTGGCCGGACTATATTCAGAGATATCAGACCGGGATATGCGGGCTCTTTGTGAAGGGTGTGTGCATGAGAATGAGAGGAAGGGGGAAAGACAGAGAGAGAAAGAGAGAGTTTCGACACTCCCATTTCTGTTATAGATTTATAAACTGTGTACAATTAAGTGTGAAATTTTTAAACTAATTAACATGAACAATATTTTCGTAATTTATCGTTAACCTGCTTTTTCTTATAAAATATATTATTTTTTATACTTTAATAAAAGTGTTAAACTTTGTATTTGAATATAAAATGTTAAAGGATTATATTTTATATAAACCCTTATTATTAGAAATTACAAATAATTTTATATTATTATAGAAATACTACAGAAATGAATGTTTCGTACATAAATTTTTAACAAAATTTAAAAAGTATAGACTACTTTAAAATGCTAGAATTTTTTTTATACAATAATAACGGGGTGATTTAAGAGATTGTAATTATTTACGTCGCGTCGTTCTAGTAAGATAACATTCGTACGTAATAATATTTGCATATTCGATGCAGATTCGTTATGCATTAATAACGTAAATGAAAAGATATGCATCTTAGCTATTAAATAAAATACGACCGTTGAAGGTAACTCGTATCAGGTAAATTAGAGACTACAGGATAAACTACCTGATAAAATCGTAAAAGAGCAGGTATATTTTTTGTGTGCAACTTACGGTTCTTTGTATATAAAATACTACATATATAAATATACACACGAAATGTAAAATGATTTTAAACGTGTATTTGCGCACGAAAGAGTTACGACAGCCTTGGGACTTTGGCACGTTCGGAGAGGAAAGAAAATACGTCGTAATTTTTCCGTCCGGGAATGTATAGTTCAACAGTACAAAGAAATAGGAAAAAAAAAAAAAATAAAAGAAACGGATAGTGGCAAGCACCGTCACGTGCGTGGCGTATGTATCCATTATTGCGGGAGAACGCGTGAAAAGTGCGCGGATGTAACATGTGTTGCGCAGAGCAACGTTTGCGTCTAGCCAGGAACCTTTCTTGCAACTTCGCGTCTCTTGCACGTCCGTAATGTCTCAGACAGCGAAAGAAGTGGGCGAAGAGAAACAGGCAACGAGAAGCAGCCGTATTCAATTTCGTTCGGCGTTGTGCAATCTGACGAACAATTTGCTTCTTTTAAAATTTGACAGCATTTCTTCCTACAAATATTAATAATAACGATAATAATAATAATAAAATGCATAAGACATTTAATGGAAAAATACTGTTACTTGTGTATGTTGAATGCTTTGATGACAAGCAGAGTAAAGATCGCGGAGTAGATCGACCACGCTGGAAATGCAAAGTCCGAGACACAATTGAAGGTGCGGTCCACTTGACGTTACAAACGCTTCGAAGTATTTGATTGACCAATTGGAAGAAAGAAAGAATTTCAATTGACCAATCTGAAAATGCTTCAAAGTATTTATAGGATCAGTGGACCGTGAAAGGAGTACAGATTTAAACCATCGGAAATTGATGTATTCTGATATATACGGTTTTTGATAGGTTGAAACTTGTTATTCCCTGTTCCCATGTGTTGCCATGTGTTCTTAATTGCATCTCAGGCTTTACGTTAT